TTGTGGAGATACCGACAGTTTCACTACAATATAAATAAACATGTAAAAGTAAAATTGTATTTCTTGAAATCTTTAAAGTTAAAAACTAAACAACAAACATAATAATTAAAACTTAAATATCAAAACCATATACGTACTAACACGCAACTCAAGGTAAAAATTAAGTATTACTTGATCAATCCAGTAGTTTATGCTTTGATATAGTAGTTATGTGGATAATGGTATTTTAGAACTCAAATTTCGGGCTTACAGAAAAAAAGACTTTGCAAGTACTGATGGGTTAGCTACAATGTAAATAACTATATAGATATATTATGTATAGAAAGTTATTTTAAATAAAAATTTACTAAAACATTGTAAATTTGATTTTAAAAAGTCTATCCTAAAAGGCTCACATTGCTAAATATGTTCATAAGTCATAAAATTAACAGGTTTATCTAAAAGTAAACGAGTTCTATATAAAATATATAAATTTAGACATCTTACTTGATTGGTCCATTCTACAGTCTTTTGGTATAGTAGTCACACTTGATTTGAATAAAGATAACTTAGAATGCAATTGAATGCTTGAGATAAGGTGGCCTGTGGAGGTGGTGATGGTTTAACTAAAATGTAAATCCGAGTGTATATTGTTTGAGATATGTTCATTACAATTATTATTAGTCCTTAAAGATGTAAAGTACATACATACTTACTTACATAATAAATTGAATATACTTGCGGTACCACCTTACTTACATAATAAATTAAATTTACTTGCGGTACCAATAATCTTTTTGTATAATTAAACATTTGTAACTTTTTTTATATACTTGAATGCATCCATGCTATATTATAATATAGCATGCATGAATAATGCATGCAAGTATTTTTGGAACTAAGGTCTTCACAAACTTTATTTCATGTTTATTGTAACATCAAATTAGCTAACCTGTCAATATTCGTACCTTTTGCATTAACATTCCACATGAAATTCTTCCTCAACTGAAAAATAAAAACTATTTTACTATACCATAAAAATGGTTAATCATTTACTAATTAAAACTTGCTTCTTCATTTTTTACATAAAAATTAGAACAAATTAAATAAAACTATTATTTTATAATATATATATATATATATATATATATATATATATATATATATATATATATATATATATATATATATATATATATATATATATATATATATATATATATATATATATATATATATATATATATATACAGCAGGGCTCGAAATAGCCACCGGACATCGGACATTGTCCGACATTGGTCCGGTAAAAATCATCATAAATCGGTCATTTTGTCCGACTAATATTTTTTGTGAAATTTTCTTAAAATTATTTTAGTTATTTAAAAGTTATTGAAATGTTCAGTATATTATATATAAACTTTCTTTTTTATTTTATTTTTTAACCAAAAATGCCCAAGAAAACGAAAGTGTGCACAATGTGATGAAGTTCGTCATTCTTTGAGATAATTCAGACAAAATGGAAACAGTATTATGGCGCAAGAATTTTATTTAATGAGCAACGCTTTTTTTAACGGGGGTTAACATCAACACTTTTTTTACATTTTTCTTTTACATTTTTAAAATATCTTCCCCGTAAATATTAATATTTTGTAAAAAATAAAATTTAATACAACATGTTACGTTTTTAATAGTTTTCTGTTTACTGTGATTTAATTTTGAATTTGAAATTTTCGTAAGGTAAAGCTATTAATTACTTTTAATTAAACTTATTTCTTATCTTATTCAATTTTGTGAACAGAAGTTTTTATTTTATAAATTTAACAATAAATATATTAATAAAATGTATAATTATATGAGTATAATTATGTATTTTATTAATATAATTATTCACATATAATATATATAAGTTTAAAATATTTATGATAATGTGTTGTCATTATTCCAACTTAGGGCGTAATATTAAAAAAAAATGGAAGCAGTTTGCTCAGTTTGTCGTGAAAGAAATACAAAGTATACATGCATGATATGCGCTGTTTTTGTTTGCAATATTTGTGCAACTCCGGAAAAAACTGGCGACTTATCTTATAGTGAGGAAATTAAGAGAATTGCCTTATGTTCAAAGTGTTCAACAACTTGGAAGTCGGAGCTCGCTGAGTATTCACTTAGCGAATGGCTATTTTATGACATTGATTCAAATGAAAGAGTAAAAAACTTAAAATGCAAGATTTGTACAGAGTTTAATGATACAATAAAAACTATGCCATACTATACGAATACATTCATAGTTGGATCAGCAAACTATAGAAAATCGAATATTCTTGATCATTGTAAGTCTCAACCGCACTTAAAAGCATACACTCTTTTTCTTAAAAAATCTAATAATTTTCAAAATGCATCTAAACCTTTATTGCCCTGTAAAAATAACGCAACAATCACTGATGGTTTGAAAAAAATGAAAAAAAGCGACCTTGAAAAAACCCTTAAAAAATTTCAACTTTCTTTCTTTATAGCAAAACAACAGTTACCTCTTTCAAAGTTTGTTCCAATTGTTAAATTAGTTGAGCTTTTCGGTGTGAATATGGGCGAATCCTATATTTCAGATCGCCAATGCGTTGTATTTATTGACTATATTGCAAGAAGTCTGCAAAATTCGTTACACGATAGCCTTAGAAATGCTAAATTTTATAGTGTATTGTGTGATGGTTCAACAGACAGTTCGGTAATTGAAAATGAAGTGGTGTATGCATTATATTTTGATCCACAGCCAGTTGGGTCGGATGCGGTTGAAATCAGGACTTCGTTTTTAGATATAAAATATTTAGAATCTGGAAAAGCCCAAGGTGTTGTAAAAGTTTTAGAAGAATGCTTTGTAAATTTGCTAACACCTATTAAATGCATTGGTTTTCCTTCAGATGGGGCTGCACTAAATAGAGGCGATCAAAGTAGTGTGAAAACCATTCTACGCGAAAAAAGTCCGTGGCTTGTGTTTGTTTGGTGTGTTGCACACCGCTTAGATTTAGCAATTGCAGATGCTTTAAAAGATACAGAATTCGATCTTGTAGATGAAATTATATTACGAAGTTATTGCCTGTACCAAAAAGCACCAAAAAAGCTCCGACAGCTTCGCGAGTTATATACTGTTTTAAAAGACGAGATGGATACGCTTGATGAAAGTTGCAAGCCTAAAAAAGCATCTGGAACACGATGGATTTCTTATAAAGTTAATGCCATGAAGTCTTTCCTTGACAAATGGGGTTTATACATTACCCATCTTGAACAATTAGCTGAAGACCCATTGATTTTAGCTCCTGACAAAGCTAAAATGAAAGGGTATCTCCTAAAATGGAAAAAAGGAAAAATACCACTTCTATTTGCATTTTTTATCGATTTACTCGAAATTCCCTCAATACTTTCAATGTCTTTTCAGGATGATCAAGTTGATCACGTTCAAGTAATGAAATGTCTTACAAAAGCAAAGGAAAGATGGGTATTATTTGAGAAAAAATGTCTCGAAAATTTGCCTAGAGTTAAAGATTTTCTTTCACAAATCAAAAAAAAAAACGGCAAACATTAATATCATGACATTGAACTTAAAGACTTTGAGCGTGAGTTTAAAATTTTTAAAACAAAAACTGTGGAGTATTTAACAGTAGTCAGGGACTGCATTATACAACGTGTAGAAAACGAAAAAGAAAGTACTCTTATTTTAAAGTATGCATCCCAAGTATTAAATTGCAACGGCTGGCTTCGGGAGGTTATAGCTGAAAACGGAATCATAACGCGAAATTTAGATTTTGCCGATGAAGCTTTAAATTATATATGCAAACACTTTCAAGAGCCTTTACGCTCTGCTGCTGTTGTTTTTCCAGACATCTTAACTCAATGGAAAGAAATGCTAAGTTATGCTCAAGAGTTTTTATCCCCAGTTGAAACGCAATACCGAATTACCTGGCGACGCATATTTGTATCACCTAGAAGTAAATCATGGACCTCTATTTTAACAGTTGCTGAGCTATTGTTTACTTTGCCAATTTCTAACGCTAAGCTGGAAAGAATGTTTTCAAAGATGAAAAGTGTCAAATCAAATTATCGCACCTCATTGACAGAATCTTGTGTTTCAAATATTTTGCGCATTTTGGAAGATGGTCCATTGCTGAAAGAATTCAATTTTCTTCCAGCAATTGAATTGTGGTGGAGTGATAAAGGAGGACGCCCAAACCAAAAACCAACGGGAATTTATAAAGATCGGGTAAACAAAAAAAGAACAATTACTTCCCTTAGCGACAGTGAAAATGATAGTGGAGAGGATCTTGTGAAATCTCTTTTTGATGACAATTAAAAGAAAAACATATTTTAATTGTGTAAAAATCTTTAAGCTTTAAAATAAATACAAAATACTGGTCTTGCTTTTATAATCAAACATATTCCTGACGAGAAAAGTTCGTTTATGTATAGACATTACGTTTGCACAATAAATAGCGTTAAATAGAGATAGTTAATACCAATACTCTAAAGTAAAAATGGTTAGCGCGATAGCAAACACAACTATTTATTATTATTATTTTATTAAAAACTGTTTTTATTCTTTTAGAAATGTTGTCGTTTTTTTCCAAAAAAGTCACAAGTTTTTAACTTGTAAGTCTAAACATGAAAGTATAACACGTTTTTTTTTATACTTTCATAATCTAATTAACACCGCAATACTAATGACTAAGGGTGCACTGTTGCATCGGTCTTGGTAACCATCGGCCGATGCCGATTGTTTTGAAAAATGAGTCTTTTTAATTTTGTGTTTCTATATTTTATAAAAAAATATAATTATTATATTTTTTTATACAATATAGAAACAAAAAAAATAAAAAAATTGACTTTTTTAAACAATTGGCATCGGCCGATGCATCGGTGCACCCCTACTAATGACCGCACATACCAGTAGTAAATAATAAATCGGATATTAGTTTTATAGTAAAAATATTTTTTGTTGAAATTTATCGGTCATGTCCGACAAACCAAACAATTTATCGGACAAACTGTCCGGAACAAAAAAGTACGTTATTTCGAGCCCTGTTATATACATATATAAAATATTATTTGCTTTAACAAGCGATTTATTTAATTTTTAATTTAATTTTTCCATAATCATTTCTACTGTTATTGCATTAAACTAGTAATATTAACTCTGAAGAAATTGAAAAAGAATTAATATAGATTAGAATAATGCACAATTATTGATTAATTATGTTATTATTTTCAGCTTATATATTATTAGTTTCTATATAAAAATTAACAAATTGAAATGAAACCTTTAAAAGAGTTGTATAATCAGTACTTTTGTGCTTTTTTTTTATCTGCTAATTATCAATTCCTTCTTCAGTTTCTGATATTTAAAACTTTTGCAATCCTCATTGTCTGTAAAAGGAATAACAAAACATCTTATCCAAAGCAATGACAAATAAATTTAAAAAGTAAATTATTAAACATTTTGTGAATAAAAATTATATCACAAACTAAAATAACAATTCAATAAAATACCAAGCTTTTGGTTCTTCCAACCAAACAGTCTGGCAATATGACATTTTGCTAAAATGTTAACACTAACACTAATTTGGTTGAAGGTACATCAACACATAACATTAATTTGTAAGTAAACTTGTTAAAAATGTTTTAAATAAGTTTAGTCGTCTAGTTTTTTAGCTTTTTTTGGTAACTTTAGTTTTCCTAATTCCAAGGGATGATATACATATACATACTATATATTTCAACCAGTAAAATTTCAAGCTTGGTAGGTCTTTCATAACATAATAAAATAAATGAAAAATAATGCAATAAATATTACAATAGCTTTTAGATATAGAGCATAAGATATAAACAGAACAATTTGAATTCTCTTTTAACTAATTTAAACTTTAAAGACTCAAACCAATCATCAACGTACCTTTCAAATATAACAGGAATTACCTTTAATCTTACATTATTTTTAAGCGTTAAATTTTTATAAATAACTTTTCATAAGCGTGAGCAATTAGATTATGATTTAAAAGGTAAACATCTGACAAATGTTCAACTATTAAAATCATATCTAAAAGAACAGAATTTGCAGTTTATCTTGTGATTACTAAAAAAATAACTATTATTTTTAAAAATCACTGCAGTTTTTATTTACAGAATGATCTTTACAGAAATAGCCATTAACTTAATTATTATTTTAGGAAAATTTAAACTTTAAAGGAGTGAAAACGTCACAAAAAATCAATTTACCACTTGCATGTGTACTTGGTTGTTTCCTGCTGCTTTAATTGCTGTTGCAACTGACTGGACTGTATATAAAATATTAAATGAAATTAAACACGCAAAACTTAATTAACTATAGTTATTTTTTATATATAAAAAATATATTTGCGTGGATTTCAGAAAATTATATAATATAGCTATATATATTATTGTTCAAGCCATGTTAATTTTTCTACTAAATAGAAAATAATATAGGAGTATGAACAATACTTAAATTTTTACAAATATTTTTTAGTTTACACTAAAAGCCTACACTAAAACTAAAGCTCCATTATATAAATATTTGAACCTCATATTATTTGATTGGCACTGACTGCACTAAAAGTATAAATATTATAACATTGCTATTCGATCAATATAACATTTTTCATAATTTATGAAAGATGTTATATTGATCTGTTTATGACATAAACAAATAGATGTTAGGTCTTAATGTAAACAAAAATAATAATTTTGCTTAGTTATTTAAAAAGTAGTTACCATTTAAAACGCATAATTTTTTATAACTTTTTTTTTCTATAACTTTTAGAAAAAATTAATGCATTTTAAGTAGTAATTATTATTCATAATTTTTCTACTTTTAGTAAAAGTAGAAAAATTAGGAAGCTAAGAGTTAACTATAGACGTTCTATAGCGTTGTTAAAAACCAAACAGAAAAAACAATTTAAGAAATAATTTAAAAAAATGCTGAAACTGATACGTTTTTGAAACTGCTATATTAGTAGCAATAACTAAAAGAATTATCAAAATACCTAGTTACTCTACTTAAAATTATTTTTAATCGCTTATACAACATTATCGAAGAACTTACAGGAAACTAATTTAATTAAGTTAGTTCCGTACGGAAATCGTTTTTCAACGCAAATTAAATATTCTGAACACGTTTAGAATAGGTTCCTAAACGTTTAGACCAAAGTAAATGCTATCTAAACGTGATCTAAACCAATTTTAAACCAACAAATGCCCGTTGGGTAACAGGAGCTAAATGAAAAAATATCTGGGAACTAGACGGGATTGCCTGGGCCCTGTTAAATCCTAACAGAAATATGGAACCCGTGTTGAAAACCGGATGAGGACCAGTATTTACTCAACCCAGTCAAGAGAGACAAAATTAATTCTTGCACTTGCTTATATATTTCAATCTGGCATTTATGAAGTTATCGCGCGTTTAAGCAGTATGCAATTATGTTCATTTGAAAAGGTTTTTTGTAACCTATAAGAAATGTTAATGTTTGCTTGCCCGTTTGTGTGTCATTTTGTTAACCCTATCCGTGACTGAGTTAAAAACAGCTATATGACTGCACGTAAAATAATGAACTAGGATCATGATGGTCTATAAGAGTATAAAATAAATACTACTAGTCAGATTTTTACAAAAAAGACCTTTTTTTTTTTTTTTTTTGATGAAGAATCGGCTTTCAGAATAATAAAAAACTTTAAAATAATTTCTATTATCTTACTTACGGGATCAAAATATAACAGGTTGAAATTAACAAAAATATATAGCTTCTTTATATGACCTTAAATAAATAAAAAAGAAATATATAAACATGTTAAAATTAACAAAAATATATAGTTTCTTTATATAACATAAAATAAATAGAGAAGAAACACATAATCATATCGTTTTTGATATTAAATAAAAGAGGCTATTAAATAATTGTGGTGATTAAAGAATAAAAATCTCCGCAACTATCATTAAAGAAAATATCAACGATCTTATATGTATCACAATAATTTAATCTATTTTTAGTCATTTTTTAAAATTGATTTTTGAGCGATCTGTAAATGCAATTAACAAACGGTTTAAAGCATTAACTTAAGAAATTATTCACATTTCAAAAATATTGCTCTTCATATTTATTAATTTATGTAACTATTCGTCTGCTTCATCAAATGCAGTTAATATGAGTCGTTTTTCTTCCTCAACTTGAGTCTTCTCGTCATTTGTACTTTTGTGGCAATGACATTTGCTACAGCAATTTTGTTGCAAGCTAAAAGTTCTATGGATAAATACAATACTCGATGCTATTAAAACAATCAAAGACCCAAACAAAGCATTGATTGTTGGTGGAATATTCATTATTAAATATTGCAACAAAAATACATACAGTATATCACAGTTACGTATCAAAACAGCAGGTGCTGCATCCTCCAACTGTAACGAACTTCCCATCAACATTAGTCCAATGAAAGAAGTCAAACCAATAACAACTATTATATACCAATGATATGCTTTAATCTGATGCAACTCAGAGAGCTGATCATGCTTTAAAATGATAGCGATTGGAGAAATAATTACACCTATTAAACTCGGATAAAAAACATTTAGTACAATTTCTAACTTTGTGCTATTCAATTTAATTAATACAAAATATAAGCTTAAAGCCACGGAAGCTAACAATGCAAACACACTACCAAGCATATATTTAGGCGTTTCATACGCTGATGTAATGTTGCTGGTTTGATTTACTATTGTAGTATGCCATTTTTCAAGCATTACTAAATCTGGCTTTGCTATAACAATCACACCAAAAAAACTTACGCAGCCACAAAGTATCTCTATTAAACTACAACCTTTACGTAAGAATAGAAAACTGAAAAATAATGTGAACACCGGTGATGTGAAGTGAACAACAGTTGCATCTGCAACAGGTATCATTTGAAGAGAATAATAAAAAAATATTATAGCTGCAACTTCTGTAATTCCCATAAAAAATAAACTTATTAAGTTTTGGGTTTTATTGCCATATAAATGAGTTTTTTTATATATCAAGATAAACACGCAAAACACTAACTGAATAAAACTTCTTATACAAAGTAGTTCATACAATGATATATCTTTATAAATATGGCAAATATATTGCACAAGAGTGTTTCCGAGTGTTCGAAAAAACCCAGAAACAGCCATCAGGCTCAATCCAATAGCACGTTGATTTGTTTCTTTTCTTTTCACAAACAAATTGCTGATCAGCTGAAGCATTTTTGTTTTAAATGATAAAACATACACTCTTTTAATGCACTTTTGACATTATTACACCATTATTAATTGGATTGTTTAAACTTATTTCATATTAATAACTTTTTAGCTTCATGCTGTTAGTTTTTATTTCTTACTTATACACCTAAAAGAATTAACTATTTTATGCTTTACATAAATTTTAATTATTAAAAACGTAATATTAATCACAAAACATGAACATTATTATTATAATTTTATTTTTTTTATAAAAAACAGACAAAAATTAATAATAATGATAAATACAAATAAAACAATAAATTTAATTTTAATGAATAAAATTTTTTTATTATTTTAAGAAACCTAATAACTTTAAATTATGTTTAGCAAAAATAGCAATAAACAGTATATAATATTTATTTTTTTGAAAGTCTCATACATTTCTGAAACGTTTCTTTAAGTTATTGGATCAAGTTGAAGTGGCTAGTTAAATACCCAGGTAAGTTGAAAGTTCAATTTATTTTCACAAGGTTTTTTTTTACAACTTTTAAGTTAAAATGTTGTCAATTTAATTCAAACTTTAATTAAAAATTAATTTTTATCTAAATAAGAATGTCAATAAATTTTATTTAATCGAATAGGTCTTCAAATGGTTCTTAAATGGCAATTAATCAAGGTTCCTCATATCGAAATCACTATTTTTGTTTATGCGACTTTAAATGTTTTGATTTTTGCTGTAAGCTTTGTAAAGAATCGGTAAAATAGGAAAGCTGCTGTTTTAAGCTATTTGATTTATCGGGATTTTTATTATGGTATTTAATGATAAAAAGTACTTCTGATAACAACATTTATCTTTAAAATCCGCTTACTAAAAGTTGTTTATCAGGCAATGTCTTTGGGATATTCATAGTTTTGCCTGATCCATAACAAATTAGATTGCAACTGCTGACCTGGAAACTAATTAAAGATTTGACTTGCGCTTTGGCTATTTGGTAAACACATGACCTTTATATAATATAACGCAAAACATTTTTTGAGTTTTTTAAATTGGTGTTTTTTTTCTGGTTTCTTAATAGAATTAAAAATACTAAGTGAATTAAAAATTGCATTATACCAGATGTCTGGCTTTGAAAAATTTTTACATTGGATTTCATTTTTTATAAAACAGTAACTTAATATGCTTTGTTTATTAATTAATATATTTTAGTTATTTAAGATGTTTGTTAATGTTTTTTAACTATTTAAAAAAGCATTCCAAAAAAATATGAAGTAAAAAGTAAATTTTATAATAAATTTATTAACTGACTTTTAAATTATGAGGTAAGATCAAAACGATTAACACTATTATTTTTGTTATATAATTCCGAAAACCTGTAAAAACCTCTATTGAATGTTTGAACTCGTAAATGCAGTATGTCTATAATAAATTAGAACTGTATTCATTGCCCTGTATTAATTGTCCTCATTAATGTTATAAAATAGTTATTATTAGCTTTGAAAATAATTTTAATTTTTAGTTTTTAGAAATATTTACAAGGTTTTCCTTTTAAAAAAATTAAAAAATTAAAATTTTTTTTTTTTGATGTTTTATTAATAATTCTGCAAATTATAGACCTATTAAATATAAATCTCCCATGTTTCTATAAAATGTTAGACTTTTCACTTCTTTAAATATAAACGATGTTCTTTACAATAAATAATATCGGTCTTTAGAAGTGGTCATGATCTCTCAAATTGTCATTTTAGTGATGTTCAAGGGTGGTCCGCAGATGTCCCAATGTTTTTCAATTAGATAGGACATGTTGAATGTCTAAATACAGGTAACTGCCGTCAGGGAATTTGAAACTGAACATATTTGGTCTTTAGGAGTGGTCATTACCACTCAGGTAATCATTTAAGGGGTGGTCAAGGGTGGTCCTAAAATATCCTAAGGGTTTTTAATATAAATGGTACATGTTGTATGTCTAAATATAGGTAATTGATATCAGGAAAATCAAATCTGGCCATACTTGGTCTCCAGGAGTGGTTATGATTGCACAGGGCACAGGTAGATGTGACCATGGGTTATCAAGACAACTAATAATCGTAATTTTAATTTATTTTATGTATTAAATTTCTTTAATGTATATATATATATATATATATATATATATATATATATATATATATATATATATATATATATATATATATATATATATATATATATATATATATATATATATATATATATATATATATATATAATAATCTAGGTGGTGTACAAAATGACTATTTTTTACAATTAAAATACAGTTTTTCCATTTTATGGGCGTTATTTAAATGAACAAAACATATTTGATACGTTTGAAGTAAAATTTTCGAGATGAAAACGGCATTTTAGAAAAGTTATTTAGACGACATCAAAAATAAATGCACTAGATGATGAAGTTTTCTCGCTTTCAACACTTCGGGAAAAAAAAAATCTTTTTTTTCTCGAAAACAAATTAATTTCTCTTAACTAAAATAAACTCTTTTTTAAACATAAGTAAAAATATTTTGCATACATAAATACAAATAATAAAATTTATTATACTATTTAGAATATTTAATATTCTCTTAAGTGATGGATCCAGCATTTTTGGTGTTTAAGATAACTTTCAGACATGAAGCAAACTCTAAACATTTGTATGTTTATACTTATGTCAAATAGAGATGGTTTGCAAAAAATTACGATGATTGGAGGCTGGGAACAAATAAACTCCAAAACTTAATCACTTCCCCCACCCCCACCCCTACCCCCACTTATCTCAAACGTGAGGGCAACAAGTTGATATAATATTTTTTCTACTATTCTCGACTAGGCTTATATTCATCGAAAAATTTTAAGTTTATATCTCTCAGCGTTCCGAAAATATGAACATACAAAGTTTAAGCCCCCTCAATTTGAGGGGGTTATAAATTTTATATGTTCATCATTTTTGAACGCTAATAGATAATAGCATGAAATTTAAAATTTATTTATGAATATAAGTCTAAAAAAGAATAGTACAAAAAATATTTTATCAACTTGTTGCCCTCACGTTTGAAATAAGTGGGGGATGGGGGAAGTGATTAAGTTTTGGGGCTTATTTGTGGAATAAAGTTTTGGGGCTAATTTGTTTCGAGCATCCAAATCCTTATTTGTCAAAATACTTTGTTCAAAATACTTTGTAAAAAAAGCAAGCATAATAAATTTTCATATATCTTCATTTTTTTTTCATCATATGATGTCAAAGGACTTATATAAACTGTTAAGAAATTAAAATATTGTGAAGTTGTCTTACTGGCCTTATATTTCATTTTTATATGATTTTTTAAATGTTTTCCAATAATTGAAAAATAAAATATTGCCATTTTTGTGGTAAAATTGATATATTGAGCTCAAAAATTACAGTAGGGAAAGAATTATATCAGTTTTAGAAAGCTAGGGTTCTCTAGATTATATTTATAAAAAGAAATTACTCCAATAAAAAAAATTGGTTTTGAAGGATTTGCTCACCTCTGGCTCACGTGCGGTGTATACGAATGTTTATGTGAACTTGGTATTTTTTATCTTTAATGCCTCATATATATAACATATACATATATATATATATATATATATATATATATATATATATATATATATATATATATATATATATATATATATATATATATATATATATATATATATATATATATATATATTTATATATATATATATGTGTGTATATATATATATATATATATATATATATATATATATATATATATATATATATATATATATGTGTGTGTGTATATATATATATATATATATATATATATATATATATATATATATATATATATATATATATATATATATATATATATATATATATATATATATATAAATATATATATATATATATATATATAAAAACCTAAGTCAATAAAAAAAATACCATAATAGTTTTTCTGGTTTCTTTTGATATCTGTATTAAAAATATATAATTTTTTTTTCTTTATGGGTACTCCTTTGATCGGTCCCAACAGTCTGAAATTTTGAAAATTTCTACTTTTGTAAATAATGAGGGGGGCTGGGTTATTTACAAATGTTTCAAAGATATCTTTAAGGTTATTTTTGTAGCCTGATAAATCTAATTTAAGATTATATTTTGTTTTATTGCAAAAAATGAAATGAAATGGTCAGCCCTACCCATTTAAAGACATGCTGTGTTTATTTGGGAAGTGGGGGGGGGGGGGGGAGTAAAATTTTTTTTTTACAATTTTAAATAAAAATTTTACATTTGTATTTATTTTAAAGCTTTCAATTTTTTTTCTGTTGTCTGAAATTTTAGACGATGATCTGCAACAACCAGTAAATTAGTTTGGTTATCTTCTTCGTTTCGGAAAGTTTCAATAAAGTCTTGACCAAGTTTAATTGCACGTTCTTCGCTTTCATTTACAACAATAAGACCAGTGATATAATTTTTAAATCTTATGTAACCTGAACATGTTTCCCAGTTTGATGAACTGATTTTCAGCCATTCTGTCTCATGTAATGTCATTTTAAGTAAATTAAAGAAAAACCAGCTTTCACGACCAATAAAATCTTCAATTTTTTTTTGTTTTTTTTTTTTCATTGTCAGTAAAAATTTCTGAACTTAGTTTTCCCATTAAATAACTGGTAGGCTTTGCTGTTTGAGCTAATTTAAGAGCTAATTTATGTAGCTGATCTACAGGTAAGCATTTATCAGCAAGACACATAACCACAAATCTTACATTTAAATATCAATTGTGTTTTTCAAGTGACTTTAGTACGGCCTCTGCTGGTTTAAGACATAATTCAGAATATTGTATCATTTCATTAATGGCTTTTAGATCTAAAAAAGGTGCTATGGCAGGGATAGGAGCTTTAATAAACCATGGAACATAAAATAGTGCTGTAAATGAACCAATTTCATGAATCAGCTTTCCCTCTTGTAATGATATTATATCAGGACATAAGTTACTGAATTGTGGCTGTAGAATGTCGTATGTTAAATAATAAACGCCCTGTGCCATAAATCTGGCATGATGTGAAGCCATTGGAAATCTAAAGTGAAAATCTTTTACTTTGCTACCTAAACAAAGAACTGCTAACTGTATAAAATACTTGTAGTCATTTCTTGGAA